AGATGCATTCCCAGTGGCTTGAACTTGGTTCCCCTAGGGGAACATCAAGTTTTGCAGCCCTTGATCGCGTTTTAGATCAAGGGCCAGGCCTCATTCCGAGTTCTGGCTGTGGGCAAAGCATCTGCCCACATGTTCTCGGCTGGCTATTAAAGCCATCAGTCCACCCAGCAGCCTCACAAGTTGTGGCAATGTTGCTGAGGCATTCACTTGAGTGAATGCTGGCTGGCTGCTGCTGTGGGGCGGTGCTGCTGGTGGAGATGCTGGAGCTGCTGGTGGAGAGGAGCTGCTGCTGGCGAAGGAGGAGGTCTGCAAGAAGGAGTGGGAGGGGGAGGTGGAGGCTGCCATAGCCACCACCTTGGTGCAAGCGGTGTAGCTGAGATGCTGCATGGCTTTTTTGGCGGCGGCATCCATCATGCAAGCGGTGTAGCTGAGATGCTGCATGGCTTTTTTAGCTCACTTAGGCCCGGCCTGCTTGCCTGTGGCCTTGCCGACCCCGCCAACTCACGGCCCTGCACGCCCAGTTGGTCGCGTGACCTTGGCATCGGCCTATTAACCCCCTGGCTCGACGTCAAGCCCTGCGGCCCTAGAATTAAACTCTCCTTCCTATTCCCCCTACGTCGCAGCTTTATACCCGGCGCACACCTCTTTTTAGCTCACTTAGGCCCTGAATCGCGCGACTGTTATTTTAGGTAGACTAGGTCTAACTTTAGTTTTTCCATGCCCGCACACTACTGCGGCTACGTCGAGAACTACGGACGACAGTGCGTACCGCCAACCCCCGCTGTCTCGAACGGACGTCGAAGACGTCACACGTCAGCGACGTCTTACGTCGACAACGTCAGGCTTTAGGTCTTTCAATTATAAGGTTGGTCTGAATAAACTTCGGCAACGTCAGTCTCATCATATTCCTCAACGACAAAAGTCGGACAGTGTCTGACCTTGAAAAACTCGGGCAGAAACCCTCACAGGCGTTTCTGTCCCGACAGCGCGACTTGTGAGGAAGGAGCGGTTAGAGGATCAGGTCTTCGTAGTGTATGTCAGACCTGTCACTAACCCTAAGGAAGAGGATAGCCCCATGGATCCAACCATTGCCAAGCTGCTGGAGGAATTCAAAGATTTATCAGAGTCATCTACAGGAGTAGTGACGGGGCCGATCGAGCACAGAATAGAGATAGAGCCTGGCAGTAGAACTCCTAAGGGAACAATTTACAGGATGTCCCCCAGGGAGTTAGAGGAGCTGCGCAAGCAGTTAGATAAGCTCCTTGAGAAAGGTTGGATTAGGCCCAGTTCGTCTCCTTTTGGAGCACCGGTACTATTTGTCCCCAAGAAGGAAGGAGAATTGCGTATGTGTATAGACTATAGGGGTCTGAATGCGATCACAGTAAAGAACGCTGAGCCACTGCCCAGGATAGACGATCTCTTAGACCGGGTGCAGGGTTGCAGATATTTCTCAAAGATCGATCTAAAGTCTGGATATCTTCAGATAGAGGTCCATCCTGACGACATGTACAAGACTGCTTTCCGGACTAGATATGGGCATTATGAGTTCATATTGATGCCCTTTGGACTGACCAACGGGCCTGCTACATTCCAGCGCTTTATGAATGATATGTTTAGGCCATGGTTAGATAGATTTGTCGTAGTGTATTTAGACGACATTTCAGTGTTCAGTAGGACCCTCCAAGAGCACCAGGGTCATTTGAGGCAGGTCTTGGAGAAACTGAGAGAGTCAAACTTCAAGATCAATGCTAAGAAGTGTGAATGGGCCAAGACACAAGTCTTGTACTTGGGCCACGTTTTAGACGGAAATGGCATTAAGCCTGAGGACAGTAAGATAGCTGCGATTAGAGATTGGCCAACGCCCCGCACGTTGACTGAGTTGCGGTCGTTCCTAGGCCTAGCTAACTACTATAGGAAGTTTGTGAGGAACTTCTCGACTATCGCCGCTCCCCTTCCCAGGTTGCTCAAAAAAGAGGCAATCTGGCAGTGGGATAAAGATTGTACGTTTGCGCTAAAGAAGTTGAAGCGCGCATTAATAGAGTATCTTGTCCTCAAAGTAGCAGATCCTTCCTTGCCATTTGTCGTCACCACGGACGCAAGTCAGTATGGTATAGGCGCCGTGTTACAGCAGGACGACGACAATGGCTACAGACCCGTAGAGCTCATGTCAGCAAAGATGCCCTCAGAGAAGGTTGCTACCTCGACGTATGAGAGAGAACTCTACGCTCTAAGGTAGGCCTTGGAGCACTGGAAGCACTACCTGCTTGGGAGGCACTTCAAGGTGTATTCAGACCATGAGACCCTTAGATGGCTGAAGACACATGCCAAGATGACACCTAAATTGACTAGGTGGGCCGCTGAGATAGACCACTACGACTTTGAGCTCAAGCCAGTTAAGGGCAAGTGCAATGTAGTTGCGGATGCTCTGAGTAGGAGATCAGACTACTTTGGAGCTATAGTTCACTATCTGGACATAGGGAGTGACCTGCAGGAGAAAGTTAGACAGGCGTATGCGCAGGACCCTATTTATAGTGACCTCCTCAAAAGAGTCAAGGAGGCCCCAGAGACCGAACCAGATTACCGCACTACAGAGGGACTGTTGTTTGAGAAGACTAATGTAGTAGACCACTTGTGCGTCCCTAACAGCAAGGAGATTCGTAGTTTGATCCTAGGGGAATGCCATGACACAGAGGGACATTTCGGTTGGAAAAATACTCTAGTCAATCTGATGTATGCGTATACCTGGCCAGGAATGAAAGCTGACTGCATAGAGTATGTCCGCAGTTTTTGCAAAGTATGTCAGAGAAACAAGAGTACTACGCGAGCCCCTCTTGGTCTTCTCAGACCCTTGCCTATTCCAGACCAGCCCGGAGACTCAGTGTCCATCAACTTTATGGATACCCAAGTCAAGAGTAGGCACGGCAAGAGCCAAGTCATGGTCATAGTTGATAGATTTAGCAAATATGCTGTTCTTTTTCCTTTGCCTGCAGAGGCCCGTACTGAATTAGTGATTCAGAAGTTTTCTATTTTTGGGTTAGTAAGCATGGAGTCCCATTGTCTACAGTTAGCGATAGAGATAGTCGCTTCACTAGCCAGAACTGGCAGGAACTGATGGATTCAAGTTGTTGATGTCGTCTGGCCGCCATCCAGAGACTAACGGTCAGACTGAGCAGATGCAGCAAGTTCTGCGCATGTATATTAGACCCAATCAAGTCAACTGGGACGAGATGTTGCCCAAGGTAGCCAGTGCGTACAATAACAGCGTGCACTTGTCCACGGTTTTCACCTGTTAGCAGTAGCGAGTGCAGATCCCAGGGCTCGATCCCTAGTCATCACCTTACCTGTGTACAGTATTTGTGTCGCCCCCGAGAGTTGAACCCGTGACCTGTGTATTTGTAACAGTTGGTAGACTGTCGTAGGGTCCGTAGGTAGCAGGGGTTAGCAGGGGTTCGATCTGTAGATCTGTCGAGTAGAAGTCTTAGGGGGTTCTAGAAGTCGTAGCTGTAGAACTTCTGAACGGTCAAGGTCGTAGCTGCTACAGTCCTGAAGGGTCAAGGTCGTAGCTGCTACAGTCTTYGAAAGGCSAGGACCCAGACTTCCGGAAGGTCSTAGTAGTGGCCTTTCGAAGTTGCTCACGTTTTGGCTGAGGCAAGTGGGCAAGTGGGCAAGTGGTGAGCCCAACTGCAGTACGTCGGCAGTGCGACTGCATTGAGTTGGCAGTGCAAACCCATGCAGTCAGCAGTACCGGTCCCAGTCAGTCCTGGTCCAGTCAAGCAAGTACCGCATGGGACTGTGTGCACCACGGGCAAGGGAAAGGGCCAGACCAACGAGCTACAGAAGTATAAATCAAAGGGCAGTGTCCAGCGATTCATTCATTCCTGCGTGAGCCATGCGGAAGCGCTGCCATAGCGACTTGTGCGAGGTGGTCTGCAGTGAGCCCGAAGACGAAGTGGGCGAGAGAGAAGAAGCTTAGCCATAGGGATAGGTTAGCTGCGGCCATAGCCGCCATAGCTGTAGATAGAGTTCAGTGTGTGTGGGTGTGGGTGTGTGTACCGAGTATCGTGCGTGGGATATCCAGGGTGATCTTGTGTGTGCGAACAGAGAGTTGTGTGGGCGCTGTGTCGCCATAGCCATTGAAGTGAACTTGTATCTGAACTGTGTTCTCAGCTACCATATCTCTGAGTTTTGAGTGGGCGCTTGTCACCAGTTTGCTGCGCACCTGTTTGCATACATGTGAAGTGTGAAAGATAGCGAGTCTGATTGCATGGCTGGCAGTTTAACTTTATCTTTTTGCATGGCCCATCTCTCGGACATTATCCTGAACTGCCCTTGCATGTTGGGCGGGGGGGGGGGTTCGAAGTCTTCCCCCAAATGCAACACCCGGTCACAGTAGCCATATGCGGTGCAATTTTCAGTCCAGATGCAGCTATAATGTCCGCGCGTTCTATTTGGGTGAAGACGGTAGTAACCAAGCTGCCTGATTCCGTTTAAATTTAGAGTTAGCCTGGGAAACTTTTGGTGTGACAGAGGCTTGGCTTGATCTGCTGCCCTCCATCATCCGCCGCCCCATGGGCGGATCGGCATTGTTGAATATGTGGGCGTGACAGCGGCTCGATGATCAGAACTGCCCCCTTTGTTTGCAGTGCCTTGATTTGAAGCTCCGGATCCAAGATTGCCAGGCACCCATTTTGTTTCTTTATGGCTATCAGGCAAACGGCCCATGCCACTTCAGTTTTTTTTTTTTTCACTTTTCTAATTTTCGCCATGGATTCTGCGGTTCTTCGCCTGTGTTGAATTTGTTTACACACGGAATTTTCAGTTTTTTTTTTTTTTTTTTCAGTTTGCTAAATGTGGCCATGGATACTGCGCGTAGTCGCCGGTGTCGAATTCGTCGACACAGAAAATTATCGTTTTTTTTTCAGTTTTCTGAATTTTGCCATGGATTCTGCGCTTCATCGGCTATGTTGAAATGGTACACACAAATTTCAATCTTCTTGCAGAGTGCGTGGTCGTTGTTGCGGAGGATATCCAAGGGACGTCGAGGCCAGGCGACGATACCGATCAGCAGCAAGCCTCAAGCCAGCTGTATGCGAATGACCTGACAAATACCATCATCGCATCCAAAGCCGAGAAGGGACTGGGAGGGAAAAAGGGGGTCGTCGTCGAGCTGCAGTATAACCCCACTTTCCAGTACTTGAAACCTCTGTACCAAATACACCCAGTCACTGTGAGAAAGATGTCGAGCCGAAGAAACAGAGATGGGTTGCATCTCTTCCTCCCATCTTATGCCATGGGCAAAGGATTTGGAGCAAACATGCTCGACTACCTCCTGTAAGTAATTTTCAGAAAAAAAAACCTTCTGCACTTAATTCAAGTTAATTGCATTGTTTACATTTCTTTTCCAATCAGTCACCCGGCCCGGGGGGTGTTGACTTGAGGAGATTGCTTTTGCAAATTGCAAGCCTTTTTTTTTTTTTCTACTGAGATGATTGGTGTTTGCCCATTTGTGAGGAGGTGGAGGAGGAGGAAGAGCAGGAGGGAGGGAGCCCTGAGTTCGAGGAAGAGCAGGAGGAAGAGCAGGAAGGAGGGAGCCCTGAGTTCTTTCTACCTCTCTCCATGTCGTCACATTCTCTTATCCTCATCCCTAATATGGGGTTACTCACACGAACGCCTCAGGGGTGGCATCTCGTGCAGGTGTTGAAGTCCTCCCTACAACCCATCCCATTCCAGAAGTTTTATGCGCATGTATTGAGAGAGAGAGAGAGAGAGAGAGAGAGAGAGAGAGAGAGAGAGAGAGAGAGAGAGAGAGAGAGAGAGAG